GAAACACCCTTGCAGACTCACCCAGAAGCCCAGTCAGGGTGCCGCATACAGTTAACTATCACATGAACTAAAATATTTTGAAAGGTATTTGCAACATAAGAGTCAAATCTAACCTCTTCACATAATTCATATATATTTTCAAAATAAACTTTAATATATGCTATTTAGGCCATACATGAAAAAGGCTGGAATAATGCTTTGTAATATACATAAATCTATTTTTTGCTGGGTGCTATTTAAGTTCATTGATGAGTAAAACTGGGGCTGGGGATTTAGCTCAGTGGCATAAGCACTTGCCTGGCAAGCATGAGGTTGTGAGTTCAATCCCCGGTACCAAAAAAAAAGATGGGTGAAACTGTGGGAAGCTATATTCTTGTTCCCAAGTATTCACACCTCATCTGCCTTGCAAACTCTTTGTCACTAACCCAGATGATATGACTTCCTCGGGGCAGGGCACATGAGCAGACAGCATGACTGTCAAGTCTGAGTAGAAGTTTAACAACTGTAGAACATTTCCTAATTCACTCTTGCCTTTGCCCCTGGCACAAGAGAAGCAAATTCTATTTGGGTACCAAATGAGAAGATACATAGAGTAGAATTGCAACTGACCCCAAAAACAACAAGCAACACGAGGAAGAAAGGGTTTGGCTTAGGTGGTGTGACTTCTTTCAGTAGGAAAGAGCTGTGGTGTTCCGTTCTCAATGTTGCTGTAGCAGACTGAATATTCTTGGCTTTTAATATCATTATTTAAAAGTGTTCATGATGCATGTTTTAAAAAATCATTCTTCTAGATAGGGTCTCTGTGGAAGTACCTCTGACTGCCGTTCAACCACTGCGACCCTGTTCAGCCCGAAGCAGCTAGATGGTCTTTTGCCAGTTTCCCTTCATGGCAGTTCGGGTTACTTCTTCAGAGCGAGGATTGTTGAAGGCAGCTGAGTTAGTTAGAAATATTATAGGCAGTCAGACAAGGCTAGGCCCTTGAGGAAGCTGGCACAGAGGACCAGATGTCTGATGACCTTGGAAGGGACACATACCTCTTGCTGTGGGCCAGAACTCAAGACAGAATGCAAAACAAATGCAACCACACTCGGAAGTATAATCCTTAAATCTGGATCACCTTGAGAAGCCAAGAGTCACCATCCTACCCCCCTATAGGAGGAGTCACTGCTCTCTAAGAACGCCCACTTCCTACGTGACTTGCTTTCCCATTTGCCCCCAATTTAATCAATTTTACCTAAACTATTGATCTTATTGGCTAACTATAGTTATGTTCCATCGTGAACCACGGTTTTACTCTATAAAAGTCCCTGGAAAAGACAGAATCTTGGGCAACCTGTCGGGACCCCCTTCTGTCTCTCTTCAGACAGCTTTCTTTCCCTCAATAAATATATCCTGCTCTTCAAAAAATAAAAAAAAATCATTCTTGTAAATTTAAACTGATTTTAAAACATAAATTTATATCCTAAACAAAACATGTCCTAGACCTATACTAAATTAAATATTGAAGACTAAGAGAAAGGAAAAGTAGATTACATATTTATGACCAGGAAAAGTATACACCCTGACTCTACTTAAAAATATTTCTGGAGGCTAGGTTAGGATGGAGACACTTGCCTTTTCCACCCCACTCAAAACACTCAAAAATATTTTTAAATTTTTTGAGAAGAAATTCATAATTGTGCTAGAAAACAATAGTTATATATGGTCAAGAATTTTTGAAACATCCCTCAAAGAATACAAAAAGAGGGATGCAAACCCCAAAATAGGTATAGAAGAACCCTGCCCCTGCAACCCCACCCACTGCACCATCAGCTTAGCAAGGCACCTACACAGCTCTCCTCCCTTCTCCATCTCACTCTTCCTACACACCAGCTTCTGCTTTTTGAGATCGACTCTGAAATATATATATATAATCAGTCTTTATTCAGGGAGCTGACACTGGGGGAACCCAAATAAAGACAGCCCTGAAGCCATGCTTCTAACTTCCTCACATCCTCTTTGTTCCCATCGTCCTCTCTGTCACCATCCACCTATCACAGTCACAAGCAAACTCAGCACTCTTGTCTTAAACCTGTATTTCTAACTTCTCACTCAGCCAGGCACAAAACTACAGGTTCATTTTTGCTCTTCTTCCTCCATGGCTCACATGTTTCAAATCCAGTCATTTGAACTTCTCAAGTTCATTCTGATCCTTCCCACATCCTGTCTACTCTGCCATCTTAGTTCAGGTCTCGTCACTTCCTGTAAGGGTATTGCAAAAGGTTTTGATAAATTGCCAAAGTTTTCTTCTCGCCACTCTACAATTTATCATCCTATCTTCTCAAAGCAATCTCCAATCATACAGCTCCCCTCACAAGGCCTCTGTGACCACCAGTGTTTATGCCACAAAATAAAGCCCTCTTGATCTCAACTGTCTTTACCCCATAACTTACTCATACAACTCGAGAGTCTCCCGAACTGAACCATTCACCGTCACTCTAAAAGTGTCCTTTTCCCATACTTCTGTGCCTTTTCTCACTCCATTCTCTAAACTTGGAAAAAATTTGACCAGTTTTCCATCACATTCAAACTCTTACCTTAGGCCAAATGCCATTTCTACCATGAAACCTTCCTTGATTATCCCAAATGGATTTATCTTTTAAATGATCTTCTATAAAGCCTAAACTGTATTTTTCTGGAGACTCTTAACACTTTATTTTTAGATTATAACTTTCATTAAAGTGGATCAATCTTAACCATGATGAATTTTCATACATACACCTTTGTAATCCTCCACCAGGTCTAAATATAAAATATTACCAGTGTTTCAAAAGATTTATTTCTTCTCTCTTTTGGTCAAAACTCCTCTTCAGGAGTAATTTCTATTTTAATTCACTATAGATTAGTTTTCCCCTTCACATAAACAGTAATATAACAGTATATACTCTTTTGTATGTGGCTTCTTTTATCCCACATTGTATCTTGAGGATCCAACTGAATCATGCATACCAGTTGTATGTTCTTGTATCATTACAAGCTAAAACTGTTCTCCACTGTACAACGAGCTGTTCTACAGTAATGAAGACTTTATAGTGTGCTGACTAATCCAAGTAAGACATTTTTGTGCAACTGTTGTTGAACATGATTACTCATTTCTACTCTCAGTAATAGAATTACTGGGTAACTGTGTTATCTGTATGTTTAGCTTAGGGAGTATTATTAAATATTTCTTCAAAGTGACTGTAAAAATATGCACATATCCTATAAATGATATAATAAAATACCAATTGCTTTCTATCCTTGCTAACATAAACGTCACATAGAATTTAACAGTTTATAAACTTTCTAAATCTACGATGTCTCAATGCATATTTCATGGAGCTCTATGGAGTAAACAGGGAGAGCCCTATTTTATACTTAAGAAAACAAAGACTCAGAGGTTGAACAGATTATCTGAGGAAGTGGAGATACCAAATTTTATACATTCACTAGGTTTATAAATATGTGAGTATGAATTATCTCTGCTACACTATTAATGGTTCTCTGAGATTCATACTTATTTTTTGATGTATCAATATTCAGTGAACAAATGAATGAACCTAAATATAAAATGACATTTCCCTATAAGTTTTATAATAATTGGTTATAATAACATAATGAATAAGAGGTACCATAATTTGTTATATGAATCATGAAGGATGATATTTCATATCCACAAATATCCAAATATTTCATGATCTTCTTTGAATGTTAAAGGAATTTTAAAAATCAAAATCTTCCTTTTGAAGTTCATTTTAAATTCATTTACTTTACAATCACTAAGTAGTCTCAAGAACAACAAAAATATTTGCGTTCCTAACCAGATTTCATATTTGCACACAGAACATCATGGTTGACAACCTTATGCATTTTTTAGTTGTTTTCCTTATATTATATAATAAATAAAATAAAATAAGTACCAATGTAACTTTATGTATAGGGAAGCCTTACAATCAGCAGCTTTGGGTAGTATATTAAAAGATTATTTGACATTCCTTCAACACTATCTCTTATGATAGGTTGACATCATTCCAAAGATAGTTATAAGTTATCAATTAACCAGTAGTTATCTGTATCATCATGCATGTGTTTCAGAATACACATGCTAAATTACTGGATAATCTGATGAATTTTTATGCTATCAGATGACACATTAAAATGATATGATAGCCTAATATTGCTGTATCCTATAAATTATAAATCTTGTTCAAGAAGAATATCACCACATGTATTGCCCATTTTCTAGGTAAGAGCTACCTCCTTTGTCTGTGGATGTTCATCTTTTCAAATGTATACATATCATTTTATAGATCTATAAAACATTTAATATCTAACACATCTTATTTTTGAGCCCTAGAAAAAAATCATAAAAAGTTTTAAAATACATTGTTGAGGCAGAAATTACAAAACTTATATAAAATTAAAACTTATAGAACATACTTTGACCTTCTTTTAACAGATATTTTTACATCAATATTGACTTTTTGTCTAAAAATTTAGCACTGAGATGCCAAAGAACATCTTCCACCTCAATTATTTGGCTCATCTTGGGCTGTGAAGACAGCTAACTGTGCATTGACACATTCCAAGGTGACCACACAACTCATTTGTGGCATACTAAGATATTTACAGTATAATTAAGCCTGCTATAAGATACAATAAAGTCATAGCCTGTGAAAGTGATTAGAAAATCACTTGTAATTCACAGGAGATAATCAGATACAAGGAATTACATTCAGTACAAATTTCTGTGTTATTAAGAGGCAATTTGATTTCTAGAACAACAGAAAAACTATGCAAGTAAATCCTCTGGATATAATACTGTAACAGTTTCCTCAAGAAAAAAAAAGCATATAAATGTATAATGATAGCTATTTACCTGTCAAATTTGTTTGATTTTAAGTTGACCCAAAAAATCATTTTTCAAGTTTTAGATATGACTGTTAAAAATATTCCCTGTCCCAAATAGCAAATGAACATACCTTTCATGCATGTAGTCAACTCCTAGTAACAGCTGAATAAACCATTCTATTATTTGATTTTCCGTAAAGGTTTTCCCAGCTTCTTTATATTCCTGAATTTTATAGTCCAGATCACCGCCCTGAAATGAAACAGCATAATCTTTTATATTTTATTCAGCTAAGGTTTTAAAATCCAGCTATCTTAACAAAAGTTAAAATGTAGTATTCATTATTTATCGTAAAGTAGTGAGGGTTATTACCACACTGTAACTGTCACTAACAAAATATTCTTTCCTCAGCAATACCTTAAATAGGCTTCTCTGAGCCCTCTTCTTAACTAAGCCTCAACCATGACCTACCTCTAAAGACTAAAGTGACACTAACATGGCTCCCAACAGCTCTAGGCTTCATTCCTAAAATGATGGAGCCATTATCCTTGGAGCACCTGCCCAAGAAAATGCAAAGCTTCCAGAAGAATTTAAATTTGGTAGCTGCACATGGTGGTTAATGTCTGTAATTCTGGCCCTCAAAGTAGCTGAGGCAGGGGAACTATGAGTTCAGCTCAGGCTGGGAAACTTAGCAACCCAGTGAGTGAGACCCTGTCTCAAAATTTTATAAAGCAAATAAATAAAAGGGCTGGAGAGGTACGTCAGCATTAAAGCCTAGAGTTCAATCCATAGTACCACAGAGGAAAAATACAAAGAAGAAGGAGAGGAAGAAGAAGAATTTGCTGTTCCAACCAACACAAGACTCCTTCCCTAATTTGGTCTAATTTTGACAGAAGTCTAATTTTGATAAGCACTAGTCAAAAATCCATTTGGTTTCACATGCACCAACTTCTGCTCCCCAATTTTTGTAATTGTTCACTTTCCTGGTCCTGCTGGCTCCACCTACCCCAGGTCTATCCTTACAAAATACCCAGTGAGCTCACCCAAATTGGTATGGAGCTCAACTCTTAACCCTATTATTATTGAATAAAATCTTTTTTCACTGCTTTAAATGTCGGGCTGTGTTTGTCTTTTACATCACTCAAGGGTAAGTCCTTCTAAAGAAGATACCTAAAAATGTATGCACATAAACTATAAAAGTCTAAGTGGAACATGTACACATGTTAAAATAATAAGCCAGTAAAATTAAAACCAGTGATATTAATATAACATAATCATACTTTGGTGACACTATATCGGTGCTTCCACAAGGCATTCAGCATTGGTGGCAACTGTATAAGTTCCTTTGCATTTGATGTGCCCAGACTACCATATGCCTTGGGGGAGACCCAATTCTCCTTTTCTCTAACTAGAGCAAAACTTTCAGGAATACACCAACTGTTGATATATGCCAGGTCCCAAACACATCTTTTAAGCATTTAGTTATAATGTTTATATAAGTGATGCAAAACAATAGATCATAAGATCCTGGGAGGTATACATGGATGCTTTTCACACAAAAGGTGGTGTGGGTGTTTCTAGGCCTATATTCGCTTTCCCACTCAAGAGAACTCTAGAAAATCTTTTTTCATACAAAATGAGGGAGGAAACTTTAAAACAAGCAATATGATCTTCTTTCAGTACTTCATAAATGTTCTGAATGTGATAAAGCTCCATAAAGTAGCCGAAAGATAATAACCAACATGTTGCCATTTTCCTGAATAGCTTCAGAGGAAGAGGAAGGAAGGAAGGAGGAAGAGAAGGGGAAAGAGAAAGAAAAAAACTTAAACCATAAAGAAATACCAGTGCAGCTACCACTAGTTTCAGGAAGGCCATGCATGCACACCGTTGTCTCTATAACTGGAGCCTTCACATACAACTATATGCCCCAATTGCAGTAATGCTGAAATTTGGCTCAGTATTAAAATAGCTTCCCTTTTGGAAATTTATCCCCAAATTGCAATGCAGATTTTTGCCCTCTGTTGTCATTTTTAAACTGTGTTATTTGAAGAAATATGAAATTCTGTACTTTTCACATCAACTGCTGCATTACCTTCTTTGAGAGTAAGCAGAATCACTTGCAGTGAGTCTTGCCACAATGACAGAACACTCCGAGTGACAATTACTGTTACTCTGTCAATCAATCCCTTTTACACTTTCTTATCAAGTACAAATTTGATGCTGATTTCTTGCATTGATATTAAATATACACTTTCTTATAATTATATAAATATATATTTAGAGTGTTGAGGAAAAATGAATAGGATCTTCAATAATTAACCAACAGAATGAAATAACAGATCTAAGAGAATTATTGATCTCAAATTGAAACGTCAAAAGGAGACAAACTCCCTCTCGCTCTCTGAGTCAGAACTGTAAGGAGACATGCATTAGTTCTTAGCATTAAGTGGAGGACTGTTCAGTCCAGAGGAAGATGAAATACCAAAAGAATAAATTAATCAGATTTATTGCTGAGTGCTGAGATCCTCTGCTTTTGGTTTTGTATGTTAATCTCCAAGAAAAAATATTTGTTTTGCATTTACTATGTTCTTTAATAACTACTCTGTGGATTACTTTCCAAGGGTTTAATTAAGCTTGATAAGTCACTCACAAATTAAGATAACAGCAAATTATTATTTTCTATAACAAAGCAATATATTTTTGTGACACAGTCTGATTTTAACTCAGCAATAGAAAAGCATTTATTATTTTCTTTTGTTAAACAGTAAAAACCAAAAGTTTTCCATGAAGTGTCACATCTCAGCTCAAGAAGTTCTTGGAGTATATGTAAGTTTATTTTGTTCTTTTAACTTTGTCTTTGAAAAATATTTAATGGTGTGTTTCATTGCTAAGAGGCCTCCCATAAGAAGAGTATTGACTTGAACTTCAACCAACATTAATGCTGCTCTCACTCTATATTGCTGACAGAAAATGATTTCCTTCACTAATATCACCCACAGTAAAGGCCTTGATGCTAACTTCTAAGGTTTTGAAAATTTGTAGCTCAATATACCAGTTGGTAGATTAATGATGTCTCCTCTCTCCCAAATCCCAGTTAACCAACATCAGATGGACTTTGAAATACTGAGATCTCCTAAAACCAAAGAATGATTCAGCTCTAACATTTTAAACCTCATCTTGGATTGGCGTTAAAAAGTTTTAAATCCTAAACAACTTGAAAATTATTTCATTTTAAAAGCTATTAATAGGAGTACTTAGAATCCATTTAAGAGACAAAAGTAGAGCATTCTCTGAAGAAGCCTGAATACAAAACTGAACTGATTAAAGAATGTATGAAGGACAAAATAATCTCTGCATTTTAAGTCTAGAAGGAGCCTGAAAACTCAGTCTGCCCTACTTCATTTTAAAATCGAAAAGCTATCCCTTATTAGTTCTCTGGCTTGACATCTGACCGTTCCTTTACACTCTACCACATCTCTCTTAAACAAATGTCCTTCCAATCGACCTCAGATTGTAGTATGTATCAGAATTACTGAAGTTCCTTGTTTAAAATGCTTATTCTAAGACCAAATCAATAGAGATTCTCATTAAGTAAATTTGGATAGGGCGAGGGACTTTTTCTGTGTTTGGTTTTTTTATTTTAAAGAGAAAAAAACATAGAAAAGAAAAGCAAAAGAGACAAATAAACTGCAACATAAAAAAGCTAAAACAATAATAATAAAGCTTTCAAAACACGATGGTAGGAATTTTACAATGGTTATTATATTGCATGTTATCGTCAAAAGAGTTGCTTAGATTACCAGATATAGAAAATCAATCAAACTTTATGAGTATTAACTGTTCTTTTCCATGAACTGATAGAATTACTACTATAATCATTTTAACTATACTCTTTATATACATACACAAATTCATATCTTTTTCCTTTTCCTTTCCTTCTTTTCTCCTTTCCCCATCCCAGCTGTTTTTCCTTTTGAGCAGTTTCTTACCCTTTCGAGCAGTTTCTTACCCTTTCACAGTAACTACTGCAGATTTTACATCTTCTTGATTCAGCTTTGGTAGTTCGTACATTTCTAGGAATCTATTTCTTCTAGGTTTTCTATTCTATGAGAGTATAGATTTTCAAAGTAAGTACTGATCTTCTGAATTTGCACAAGATATGTGGTAATTTCACCTTTTTGATTCCTTATTACATGATTTTGAATTTTTTCTTTCCTTTTTGGATAAGGTTGTCTAGAGGTTTATCAATTTTGTTTATTCTTTCGAAGAACCAAATCTTTACCTATTACTTCTTTGTATTGTTTTCTTAGTTTCAACTGAGTTAATTTATGTTCTGATCTGTATAATTTCCTCCCATATATGGGCTTTGCGTTTGATTTCCTCTTCTTTTCCTAGAAGCTTTAGGTGTTGCATTAGATTGTTTGTGCTCACTCTTTTTCTAGTGTGAGAATTCATTGCTATGAATTTCCCTCTTATGACTGCTTTCATTGTGTCCTGGTTTTGGTATGTTGTGTTTGCATTTTCATCTGATTGTAGATACTGCTTAATTTTCTGTAATCTCATCTGTAACCCATTGGTTGTTCAGTAGGGTGTTATTTAATTTTCATGTGTTTAATGAAGTTTTTGCAGTTTCTTTTGCCATTTTCAATTTCTTTGAATTATGGTCATAATATATATGGGATAATTTCAATTCTTTTGCACTTATTTAAGCATATTCTATGGGCTAGTATATGGTCTATTTTTGAGAATGATGTGTGCAGTTCAGAAGAATGTGTATTCTTATGTTGCTGGGTGGAACACTCTGTAAACATCTACTAAGCCCATTTGGTCACATATTTTATTCAGTTCTGTTATTTCTTTGCTGATTTTTTGTCTGATTGATCTACCTCTTTGTGACAGTGAGGTATTAAGAAAAGGTCATTACAATTATGTTATTGCTTACTTGATTTTTCATGTCTATTAATATTTGTCTTATATAGTTGGATGCTCCTCTATTTGGTGAATGTACGATTATCTCTTTTTCTTGAACTTTTCCTCTAACAATTATGTAATGACCTTCTTTATTTCTTTTGATCATTTCTGGTTTGAAGTTTAGGTGTCTGCAAACAGGATAGACATCCCTGATTTTTTCTGGGTTCCTATTGCATAGAGTATTGTTTTCCATCACTTGACTCTGACTTTCAGTCAACGAGTTTCTTCTTGAGTTAAATGTGTTTCTTGTACAGAGTCTATTGTTGGGTCTTGTTTCTTGA